CACGACGTCGGAGCCGAACAGGTAACCCGCGCCCCGCGGGGACACGCCCCAACCTGTGGTGTCTGACAGGTGAGAACAGGTGAGATACAGGTGAGACACAGGTGAGAACAGGTAACCCGCGCCCCGCGGGGACACGCCCCAGCCTGTGGTGTCTGACAGGTGAGACACAGGTGAGATACAGGTGAGACAAGTGAGATACAGGTGAGACACAGGTGAGAACAGGTGAGACACAGGTGAGAACAGGTGAGAGACAGGTGAGACACAGGTGAGGGACAGGTGAGATACAGGTGAGAGACAGGTGAGATACAGGTAAGAACAGGTAACCCGCGCCCCGCGGGGACACGCCCCAGCCTGTGGTGTCTGAGATACAGGTGAGACACAGGTGAGATACAGGTGAGAACAGGTGAGAGACAGCTGAGACACAGGTGAGGGACAGGTGAGATACAGGTGAGAGACAGGTGAGACAGGTGAGAACAGGTAACCCGCGCCCCGCGGGGACACGCCCCAGCCTGTGGTGTCTGACAGGTGAGACACAGGTGAGACAGGTGAGACAAGTGAGATACAGGTGAGACACAGGTGAGAGACAGGTGAGAGACAGGTGAGATACAGGTGAGACACAAGTGAGATACAGGTGAGACACAGGTGAGACACAGGTGAGATACAGGTGAGACACAGGTGAGACACAGGTGAGACAGGTGAGAACAGGTAACCCGCGCCCCGCGGGGACACGCCCCAACCTGTGGTGTCTGAGACACAGGTGAGATACAGGTGAGAGACAGGTGAGAGACAGGTGAGAGACAGGTGAGGGACAGGTGAGACTCAGGTGAGACACAGGTGAGATACAGGTGAGATACAGGTGAGACACAGGTGAGAGACAGGTGAGAGACAGGTGAGAGACAGGTGAGACACAGGTGAGACACAGGTGAGATACAGGTGAGAGACAGGTGAGAGACAGGTGAGAGACAGGTGAGAGACAGGTGAGACACAGGTGAGATACAGGTGAGACAGGTGAGAACAGGTAACCCGCGCCCCGCGGGGACACGCCCCAGCCTGTGGTGTCTGACAGGTGAGAACAGGTGAGAACAGGTGAGACACAGGTGAGACACAGGTGAGAGACAGGTGAGACACAGGTGAGGGACAGGTGAGGGACAGGTAAGACACAGGTGAGAGACAGGTGAGAGACAGGTGAGCTCAGGTGAGACACAGGTGAGACACAGGTGAGACACAGGTGAGACACAGGTGAGATACAGGTGAGAGACAGGTGAGAGACAGGTGAGAGACAGGTGAGCTCAGGTGAGACACAGGTGAGACACAGGTGAGCTCAGGTGAGACACAGGTGAGACACAGGTGAGACACAGGTGAGGGACAGGTGAGACACAGGTGAGACACAGGTGAGACACAGGTGAGACACAGGTGAGACACAGGGGAGACAGGTGAGATACAGGTGAGACACAGGTGAGATACAGGTGAGATACAGGTGAGAGACAGGTGAGAGACAGGTGAGACACAGGTGAGATACAGGTGANAGAGACAGGTGAGAGACAGGTGAGCTCAGGTGAGACACAGGTGAGACACAGGTGAGCTCAGGTGAGACACAGGTGAGACACAGGTGAGACACAGGTGAGGGACAGGTGAGACACAGGTGAGACACAGGTGAGACACAGGTGAGACACAGGTGAGACACAGGGGAGACAGGTGAGATACAGGTGAGACACAGGTGAGATACAGGTGAGATACAGGTGAGAGACAGGTGAGAGACAGGTGAGACACAGGTGAGATACAGGTGAGATACAGGTGAGAGACAGGTGAGAGACAGGTGAGACACAGGTGAGAACAGGTGAGACACAGGTGAGACACAGGTGAGACAGGTGAGATACAGGTGAGAGACAGGTGAGCTCAAGTGAGAACAGGTAACCTGCGCCCCGTGGGGACACGCCCCAACCTGTGGTGTCTGAGATACAGGTGAGACACAGGTGAGACACAGGTGAGACACAGGTGAGATACAGGTGAGACACAGGTGAGATACAGGTGAGACACAGGTGAGACACAGGTGAGATACAGGTGAGACACAGGTGAGACAGGTGAGAACAGGTAACCCGCGCCCCACGGGGACACGCCCCAGCCTGTGGTGTCTGACAGGTGAGACAGGTGAGACACAGGTGAGGGACAGGTGAGAGACAGGTGAGAGACAGGTGAGAGACAGGTGAGAGACAGGTGAGACACAGGTGAGACAGGTGAGACAGGTGAGAACAGGTAACCCGCGCCCCGCGGGGACACGCCCCAGCCTGTGGTGTCTGACAGGTGAGACACAGGTGAGATACAGGTGAGACACAGGTGAGAGACAGGTGAGAGACAGGTGAGAACAGGTGAGAACAGGTGAGAACAGGTGAGAGACAGGTGAGATACAGGTGAGGCACAGGTGAGAGACAGGTGAGATACAGGTGAGACACAGGTGAGACACAGGTGAGAACAGGTGAGACACAGGTGAGACACAGGTGAGACACAGGTGAGAGACAGGTGAGACACAGGTGAGACACAGGTGAGACACAGGTGAGAACAGGTGAGAACAGGTGAGAGACAGGTGAGATACAGGTGAGGGACAGGTGAGACACAGGTGAGACACAGGTGAGACACAGGTGAG